TAGCACTAAATGAGGCTGGTGTATTGAGTAGAACTATTTGCATAATAATGACAAAAATAAAAGTTTTAGGAATGAGAAATTGACTCATCTGAAACTTAAATTCTAAGTCCTGAGCAGCTTCTGACTAATGAGCCTCAACATTAAGAACTGTCCTGACCCACTTCTTCAGCCGTAGAAAAGGGATTATGTAAAGATTTTGGGGGAAATTTACAATACATATATATATCTAGGTTTCTCAAGCTTTTCCTTCCCTATAGCCACACTGGGGGAGTAGGGTGGATCTATCTTCTTGGTAGATCTGCAAATTTAGCCTGAAGTTGCCCATTTTCTCTTTTAACATTTACATGTATTTGAACTATATGGAATAAAACATTCATCTCTCTGTAAAAATATAAATGCTCTAAATTATTGGCTAATTAAAATCATGCCCCCCCCCCTATTAGTTAAGCTTTGGACTAAGCTGCTGTATTAAGATCTCAAATATAGTTGTTCAAACAAGATGTTTTATTTCTCATGTTAACAGTCTGGAGACAGCAGCTTGTTAAGAGCAGCACTGCTCCATGAGGACATTCAGGGACCCAGCTTCCTTCCATGTCATTGCTGCCTACCTCTCAAGGCACCATCCTTGTCTGCTCAGTCAAAGCTCACTCCGCTTCACATCTGTTTCAGATTTGGAAACATAGAAAAGTAAAGATGAGTATCATTTCCACTTATTGTTCATGGGTGAGACCTAGTTACATGGCTGCAATAGCTGCAGAGGATATAAAACATAATTTCCAATTTTCATGTGACTGGCAAAATTAAAGTGATGCTGCAGAAGTATATACCACATTGATCTTACAGATTTACGTATCCCCTATCAACTGCTATATTCCTTGGGAGATGTCCCATGGAAGTGCACTATAAGGAATGGGTCTGCAAAGTTTTCCTGTAAAGAGCAAGGCAGTAAATATTTTAGGCTTTCTGGATCATACACTCTTGGTTGCAATTACTCAACTCTGCTATTGTAGTACAAAAGCAGCTATGGACTACATCAGTGGTCCTCAACCTTTTTGACATCAGGGACCGGTTTTTTCACCAAGGGGTTGGATGGATGGGGTAGGCAGGGACAGGAGGCTGAGCCCAGATGGAGTTGGGGGATCAGGAGGCGGAGCTTAGGCAAGCTTCCCCTGCTCACTGCTGCTCTCCTCCTGCAGTGGACTGGATTGGGGGTTAGTGTTGGTGTGAAGATACAAGGTGGAGCTCAGGCGAGCTTCCTTCCTGGCCTGGTTCCTGAGAGGCCACAGACCAGTAGAGGCCTGTTCTCAGGGACTGGGAACCCCTGGACTATATGACTATATGAAGTCCAGCGGTGTCCAACCTGTGGCCTGTGTGCCATGTGCAGCCCAAAATAGTTATGAATGCAGCCCAACACTAAACTCCAAATTTACTTAAAACATTTTTCTTTTTGCTCATCACTTTCATTAGTGTTTGTGTATTTAATGTGTGGCTCAAGACAACTCTTCTTCCAGTGTGGGCCAGAGACGCCAAAAGGTTTCGTTTATAATAATTATAAAGAGCTTGACTGTTGTTTTAGTTACCTATTACAACATAACACATTACTATTAATTCAGATGTTTAAATTAACACACATTTAATATTTCACAATTACCATGAACCACGAGTCTCGGTCCTTCATGCAGCAGGATCTCACAAGGCAGTGACCACGACCAGTGGGACTATGTGCGCATCTGGAGGCTTGCCTGGGAAAGAATTCACTCCCAATCTCACTCTAGTTGTTTGCAGATTTATGTCCTTGTGGCTGCCGGGCTGAGAACCTAGGGCCACAGCTTCTTCCTGGCTATTGGTCACCCTCAGCTCCCTGAGGTCACTCAGTTTCTTGCTATGTGATTCTGTCAACAGCTCCTCTCACAACATGACAGCTTGCTTCTTCAAAGCAAGAGGGGATTCTCTACAGTGAGTTTGGTAGCACAAAATAATTTTACATAATATAACAATCATGGGAATGACAATACTTTGCCATATTCAGTTGGTTAGAAGCAAGTAACAGGTGCTTGCTGCCTGCACTAAAGAGGAGAGGTAAATACCTAGCTGCAAATACCAAAAGGCAGGAATGATTAGGAATCTGTCCACCATAGCTGTGTTCCAGTAAAACATAAAAGCGAGTAATGAGTTAAATTAGGACCTGAGGCCATAGTTAGCTTGTCCTTGTTATAATGAATAAGGGAAAGAAGGCTGTGTAAGGTAAGAAGATGCAGAAATTCATTGAATAATGTTAGATTTCTCAGTGCCAGAATAGCTACATAGAAATATAGAAAAAAATATTTCTGATTCTGGCCCCACCCCATAATACACCCACTACCTTATTTTGTTAATAAAAAAATTAAAAGTAGGATAGATTAGCATTATGTTTGAATCCAGTGGTTTATTATTGGAACTCAAAGTCAAGTCAAAGTGAAGGGGCGTCGTAGTAAGCTTTCTGCAATTTTGACTTTAATTCAAACCTGAATTGGAACAATTTCATCAGAAAGCCTGGTGATTTTTTTTTTAGTGATTATGAAAATGAGAGCTAACACTTATTATGTGATTATTGTGTATCAAGAATTATACTAAATGTTTAACATGAATTATCTCATTGCATCTTCATTAACACTCCCATGTTATTTAGATTATTATTTCCATTAGAAAGATGAGGAAACTGAGCTTCAGTAAATTAAATGACACAAAAAGTAGTAGAAATAGGATATGACTCTTTGTCTGTCCTGGGGGTCCAGATACTTAAATTTTATTTGAAGTGTAATGGAAAAGTCTTTGAGGAGTTTTAAACAGCGAGATAGTGTAGTTAGTATGACCAATGTTTTAAAAATATTGGCTTTGTGTGAAGACTGGACTGAAGTAGGGCTTGAGTGGAAGCAGGGTAGTCCATGGCAAAGATGATGGTAACTTGGAAAAGGTAGTGTCCTTGAGACACATTGGCAAGATATTTTGGTGGTAGAAGGACCAGGATTACCTCTTTAACTACATCATACTCAGCTATCCCCTTGTTCACTACATTCTAGTCACGCTGACCTTTGGTTCCGGAAAAGGTGCTAAGGCCCAAGGTGTCTGTCTAACCTGCAGCCTGCGGGCTGCATGCAGCTCAGGATGGCTATGAATGTGGCCCAACACAAACTTGTAAATTTACTTAAAACATCATGAGATTTTTCTGTGAGCACGTGTTGCAACGTACTTCATGTGTGGCCCAAGACAACTCTTCTTCCAGTGTCACCCAGAGACACTAAAAGTTTTCCAAGCTTGGGGACATCGCCTGAGTCATTCTCATCTAGAGTGCCTTTCACTCTGTTCCTCTATTGCTTTATTCTAACTCATGCTAAGAGTTTGGCTCAAATCTCATTTCCTCAGAGAATCTCTGATGCCCCAAGGTCCCATCTTTTATTTTCTTCACAGGATTCAATTATTTTTCATCCCATACTTGTTCACAACTTATTTACATTTTGCTTTAAAAAAAACTGACTAACATATTACGCTTCAGAAGCCAGGAACAATATCTAACTTGCTCATCATTGTTAACATTCTGCCTCAAATACACAGCACTGGTTCCAAAGAAACTCACTGAATATTTGTTGAGGAAACAAATGTCTAACTTCAATGCCCTTATACTTACATACTGTGCTCTTACCTCTCAGATTTGCTGGTTTTAGAAGTGGTTTCCTCTTCAATCCCTCTGGATTTATCAACTTAACATATTCAAAGTAATTAGTGATGTTCCAGTCTTTAACCCACTCTCACCCCCTCCATACTCTTGATCCCAGGTAAACCTGATCCCAGGTAAAAAGAATATTGAGAATGAAACAGTAGGAGGAAGGGGCTACTGAAGTTAGTTTGAGGCATGTGAACACTCACTCACGGTTGGTAAGAGTATGAATCTAGATGAACTTTTGGAGAATCAATTTATCAATATGCAAAAATAGCCTTAAAAATAAATATAAATAAAACATACACAAAGTGGTATGCGTGTGTGTTGGCATTTACTTAAGATGTCTAAAATTATATAAACCAAATATTTCTAAGTAGTTGGTAAGTACCTCTGGGGAGTGAGGTGGTAAAAACAGAGGAGGAACTTTTTCTTTACAATGGGCAATTATTATTTTTATAATAAAATTCCATTAAAGATAAAAACAGAATATAGCCATGGCTAGGTAGCTCGGTTGGAGTATTGTCCAGTACACCAGAAGGCTGTGGGTTCAATCCCCCACTGGGGCACATACAGGAGGCAATGGATGGATGTTTCTCTCTCACACTGATGTTTCTCTTTCTTTCTCCCTCTCTTTCTTCCTCTCTCTAAAATCAATGAACATATTCTCAGGTGGGGATTAAAGAAATAAAATAAATATTCATACTTTTGACACAGTAATCCCACCTCAAGGAATCTATACTAATAAAATAACAAGAGATTTGGTTTAAGGTTTATATATAATGATATTCACCAGTGAGTTCTTTAGTTCTTTCAATTTAAAAAAAATTGAAAATAATGTCCAATAGATTGAACAACTAAATAAGGTGCAGCTAACTCAAATTTAATATACATTAAAATTATGATTTAGATAATATGGACAAAAAAATGCTCATAATGTTATGTTATATAAGCAAAGTATGGAACTGTATTTATAGTATTACTGCAGTTTGTTAGGAAAGGGAGGGAAAAAAAAAGAGAAAAAAGAGAAAGGTATATGGACAGAAAAATAAAACTTCAGTAAAATCTACCAAAATGTCATCAATGGCCACTTCTCGATGATGAGATTCTATAAATTATGGTTACTTATATTTGGTATTTCCTAATTAAAAATAACCATATTTTATAATTGAAGAATAGCAGATATTATTTGTAATAGGTATAAAAATAGTACATTGGTTCTTTTCTAACAAGAAATTCTGTTTTTATTCAATCCTGTCAAACACGCATACATGTTTATTTGCTAAGATAGTATGTTCCAGTCCCCATTTGTCCTTCTACCCATTTTGATTTCTATTAAAAAGTAACATACATGTAATACTTTTTTTTAATGATATTTTCTTTGATTTGTATATCAAAACAACAATGGTGCCTCCAGGAATGAAATGACCTGCAATTAAATATATTTCCAGAAAAATTACATCCTTAGTTGGAATTAGACCTTCTACTTGTCCTTTCTTTAATGCCACTGATCAGACCTTTCTGAACTAGACAAATGGACAGAAAACTATTTCCCACATTTTTGTACAGGTTTAGATATACTCTTAGCGAATATAAAACCAGCTCTTTCAGAGGGCTTAAACTGAGCTGTTATTAGAAATAAGTTCAAAATTCAGTTTGAATCGTCACATTTAATTTAGAAACCTACATTGGGAGTTAAGTTGTCTGTTAAACCAATGACAACTTCTACTTATCTATATGGTCAGGAAGGCTTAACAAATTCAACTTGAGAGGATATATGTTTATTTGTACATAAGAAGTCTGAAAGAATATTTATCAAAATGTTTATAGTAGATAGTTCCCTCTGGAGTCTGGCAGAGCAGAGAATAGAAAATAAGACAGATCCCACAAGACACATATGGAAACAAATCTCATTATATTATAAATATGTCTTCCAAATATCCTGTCAATGGAAGTTTGAGTTTAAAAACTTTTTATATTGATCAACTACAGACAGTAACTATAACATTTACTTTATGAAACAATCCAAACTCCCAATCCTTCTAAGTGACAATATAGAACACACTTATAAATAAGGGGATGGAGTCTATATGTTGACCATTTACTTGGGAGACATTTAACACTGATATCACTTGGATATCTAATATAAAGAATGATATTTAACATCAATGGATCTGTTTGTTTAGGACATTTCTGAAATCAAATTCCTTAATGTGAAGAAAAGTCATGTTGGAATCAATCTCTTTCTCTCTTTCTCTCCTTTCCTCCTTCCCTCCCTGTCCCTCTGAAAACAATATAGAAGAAATATCTGATTTATAAAAATCTAATTGATATTATCTTTACAGGCAAACACATTCATATTTATGTATATTCATAGCATAAAGTATTGTGCTAATTCTAAGACCAAATTTTATTGACTGAAATTAATTGACATATATACAGAAAGAGAATGAAAAAGTTATATTTTGAAATTTTAAGGATACCCATTTAGCATTCATTACAATTCTTTTTATTCATAATCTGAATCCATCTCCCATACTATGAAGTGAATCATTCATCTTCAGTACAAAGAAAAGCATACAAAAACCAGGACTGTTATTAAATCATTAAACTCAGAGAAAAAATAAAAGTGCACAGAGAAGCCCACACTAGAATTATTTGATATACTACTAACTCTATTTTTAATTGCTGTCTTATATTATTTCCAAAGCAAAATATACTCATTATATCCAAGGAAAAATTCTGTATGTGATTGCATGTGGCTGCTTTCTTACTTTTATTATGTAATCATTGAAGTTCTGTATTCTAAGGTACACATTATACCTTGTACTCATGGATTCTATAGGTGTCATCAAATAGGTAAAAAAACAAAACAAAAAAATTTGTTAGGCAATAAAGCAAAAATAGGACAGTAAAAACAATATGGTATTCACTTTTGGTTTTTCTGAAAGCAAAACTGCTCTTAACAATTGCTTGCTGTTGGCTCATGGAACTAGAGAATGTATACTAGAACCTCAGTCCTCAGGAAATCATTTCTATTAGCTATTATTTGTCTAAGAAGTGATAAACCATATAATTTACAAGAAGAAAACTACTGAATCTTTCAGAAAACACAACCTGGCAGTCTATCTTCAAAGTAAAATAAGGAGGTGGTAGGAGTGTGCTGGAGAAAGCAGTCTTCAGGAGCATCACGTAAGGGAATCCAACTGTGCCTGTATGGTCTCTAGCTATTTACAAAGACAAAAAAAGAGAGAAAGTTGGTGAAGAGAGAGAAATTCATATGAAGTGCTATTTAGAAACACACAAATAGAAGGGAAAGAATGGCACTGGCAAGAATGCATATGAAATCCATTCACACAGCAATAAATATATCACTTAATGTTTTTTTCTTTTTATGTGAAAATACTAGAATTCCTGCTTGCTAAGTTTTCAAATTTGTAAAGGATGATTTCTAAATACTACTGTTTTAAATACACACAGCTGTTTGCTTCATTTTAAATGATCACTGTATAAGCTTTTTAAAGGGGGGGGGGTCCTAGATGACAAAAATCAGTATTTGGAAAGAATAATAAAATATGGTCAAAGAAATCTTTAAGGACTGGCGTCTCCCTTTTCTCTTGTATCCAGAAGTCAAAATATTTAACATTGCTTTATATCTAAAGTGCCAGTGTGACTAGGTACCACATAATTCATTACTTATTGCTTTAATTAAAACCATTTCCATTTTCTTCCAGATTTAGTTTGTCAGATTCTATTCATCTCAGCAATGCTTCCTACTGTGAAACATAAGGTGTTTACAAGTGAAATTTAAAGAAATGAGTTCCATAATAGGGTATTTAAAAATAAAAATTCATAAAATGAAGGAAACATTATAAAAAACCTACTTATCAGAAATTATTTTTAAAATATTGACCTTGTTATAGAAATCAAACAGCTCCTTGTGACTGAATTCCACAAGAACTTTTTCCAGACTCTGTAGGAAAGAAGGAGAAAAAAAGAATTTAGTTGTATATAATTTATATCACATTTTTCTCTCCAGCTAGCCCCCTCATATGCCATATTATTCTGAGTGGTTTAAAAAAAGATACCTGCTCTACTTAACACCATTGTTCCTAGAACTCACAAATGCACTTAATAACACTCCATTTTAGCAAAAGGTTTCAACACTATAGGGACATCTGTTCTTTAAGTTGACTCCACAAAAGTTAATAAAATATATGCCAGCAAGAGGAAATTTCATTATCTATTTTTTTCAAGACAGAGATAATACATGAGATTATATTTCATCTTTCTCAGCAGTCCATTTGAAATCTAGAAAATGCCATTACATAAAGACACTGGAGGCAGCATATCTGATTGAATCCATCCAGCCATTAATGTCTCACATCAGCACAGCTGCTGCCTCCAAGCTTCTAACAGTTACGATCTTAACCTGCTGAGACTGCTACCTTTTTAAACATACAGACTCAGCAAAAGTTAACAATTAATACAACAGCTTTAAAGGCAGGACTTAAGCTCCTTCCTTCTACCTCACATGCTATATAGAGAAACCTTTATGGATGCTACACATGCTAAATGATATTGTGCATGTCCACGCGATGGTGTAGTAGAGTGCCATGTCAACCCACCCCACTCCAACTTGCTTTGGGTCGATTTTGTAAACTGACGAAACAAACTAGTTTCTGAGATTGTCCAAACATGTCTATTTTATTCAAAGTGCCTTCGGGAAACAAAAGGTAATGAGAAAATGCCAAGAATGTGCTTACCTGCTCTGAACACACTGTCACGCTCACGTAACATTAAAAAAGCAGCATGACTGCAGAAGTAGAGACCTGCTGCGGACATCGATTCCTGCACTTAATTGGTTGTGGTCATTCCCAACTTTCTAGCAATTCCAGTTTTTGTGTCTGTGTTGACTTCGTTTTATCTTTTTAAAAAATTATTTCCGTTTCTATTTACAAAGCCAACATTTTCCAAACAACTTATCTCCAGTTAACCCAGGAGAGTCAACGGAGCCATGGCACCTCTTTTTCATGAAGCCGAAGCCCACAGGATCAAATTCTACGCTTCCTTTTCTCTTTTACACCCACCTAAGTATTTAAGCTTTAAAACGAATGAAGAAGCATATCCTCTTTAGGGCCTCATCCTTTGAGAATGATTTAAAACTATGAATTTTTCAAACTGCATTAGAACAATCAGTTGGCTAACTGTCATGTATCATAAAACCGCAAAGGCTGAATCAGCATTATCTAGCAGTGCTGTATTTCCTTCCAGCAGTTAAAGGGAGGTGACAGGCCTAGGCTTGACCCCAGGGAAGAAGAAGGCAAGTTCATCACTCCACAAGCGAGAAGTTAGGACGTACTGAAGAGTAAATAAGTATGTCAACACCTGACTTCCTGTGCCCCTGAAGGTGGCAGACAAGTTAGGTTATTTCCTGAATTTTATTTGCTTTGTTTCAAGGTAGCATTTCCTAAAATGTTACATGGCAGAAAAAGAAGGAACAAAAGTAACCTTGAAAATTTCTTCTTAAAATAAAAATAGCAGAAATAATTTGTGTATGTATAAATTTAATGTTTTGCTTTACTGAAATACTTAGCCCTAAGAAGAAAAAATGCTGACACTTGAGACAAAATATGCAAAGAACTGTACCAGCTGAGTTACTGGTAGCTAGTTACTATTATCACTTCCCATTCAACTCACAATGACAGAGAAGACCACGAGAACATGCGGGAACATGGAAGTGGTTTTCAGAGATTATCTTTAGAACTTGAGAATCTAAATTCATCCACAGGGAGGACAAGGGCAGTGTTCTTCAGGAAGCTAACAGTGGAGCTTAGGATAAGGATAAAAAGGGAAGAGGAGCTGGCCAGCTCCCCACATTGTCTTGTTCTGACCTGAAACCCCCCAGAGTCCAAAAGTTTAAATTCAAATCTGATCTTCTAGTACATTATTAAGGTATCTCATCCAGAAAGGAGTACAAGATCAATTTTATTTAACAGGCTGGTAGCTTTATTTATGATTCTAAATGTAGACATATAGCCCAAGTCCTCCATTTTTACTCTTGCTTCAGGCTTGCAAGTACTAGGAATGGGCCTGATCAAAACTTTTCTTGAGACCATGACATTTTAAGGAGAAAACACTCTTAGCTTTCCTTGAGAATATAACTACAAAGTCACACAATTGCTTATTAAACCAGAATCAACTCTCTAACTCTTTTGTTTACTCCTCCAAAAATGTATGGAAGGTTCTGTCTGTTAAGGAAGCATGTTTTCAAACAATTTCTTTGCAGTTTAATGTCAGGACACAAATCAATGGCAGTCAAGACCCAACAAGGATTAAGAAAAGCATTATGCTTAATGAGAATTCGATTATTAGTATTTAAGGGGTGTTTCTCTTTGGAATGTCTAGCTCTCCATATAACTTCCTACACTTTATTTATATACTACTGGGCTTTGACTCAACTCATGGTTTATTAGTGCCTTTAAGAGAAGAGGAGGAGTAAATAAATTGAAATTCTAACTCTTCATATCTCAGCCACCATTAGCAACTCTAACAACAGGCTTTCTGAAGGAAGGTGTAGAAAATCCTGGCAAAAGTCATTTCATAGGCTGAATTTGACACTGGATTTAATTATCTACGTGTCTACTTCCTGTCTCTCACTGTTAATAGATAATGAGACTTGACTAGTTGGTCCTATTCCCACAGAGTCAGAAAGATAGTCTGGATAATAAGATGTAGCCTATTATGCCATACTAAATAAGAGAAATATCTTAGTGGCATAAAACTATAGTTACAAGTTATCAAATGTATTGTCATCTTATCAATCATATACCAAAACTATTTTAAACCTGAACTAAATAACTCTAATCTTACTTGGTGAAACAAATTAGGTACATTTTTTTAATATATATGCATATATCTCATATATATATATGTATATATATATATATATACATAACATTTATATAATATAGTACTTCACTTTTTATACAGTCAAGTGTTTAAGAAAAAAATTTACAAGAATATTACATCCACATTCTTCCAGTAATCAGGTACAAATGATATGTTCATACAAGGAAAACTGTATTTTAAGCTAAAATATGTTAAAGAAGGAGATAATTCTAAGTTTATATTGTCTTCCAAAGGAATATAATCACTAGATAATTAACACAAATTATTTCTTGGAGGACTTTTTTGTTGCTTGTTTGTTTAACAGGAGTATCAGTGCATATTGCCATTATTTAGCAAAAATCATTGGAAACATTTATTATATTTGGTAAACAAAAAAGTAATTTAATAATAGCTAACTAGTCCACGTATAATGTTAAATACACCCTTCCACACATATGAAGAATTTTTTTTAAATAAAAATAAAGTCAGTAGATAAGATAGATTTCTGTTTTATTTTGCTTTGTTGTTATTGTTTTGTTGGGGTAAAGAGGGTGGTTGATTTGAACTGAGTCATCCACACAATTGCATGATCCCTCTTGAGACGAAAGTGCCTTTATATAAGATGTTTTGGAAGCTACTGCTAATGATACCTGTTCATGTGAGAAAAAGCAGGGTAACATTTTTCTTAAGTCTTCTTGGTTCTACACCATCTTCCTTAATCTAACTTTCTACTTTTATTTCCCACAAGACCAGAAAAACCTCTGCTCCAACCAAACTGGTACACTCACTGTCTCCCACAAATCCCACACCTTCCTCCCTGATTTTGCTCCTGTGGTCTCCTACTCTCAGATGAATGTGATTCTAGATAAGTAAGGTAAAACAAAGAGCTAAAAGAAAATATACGTGAGTATCTCCATTAGCTGGGGGTATATAAAGACCTCTTTAAAAAGGCATGAAAATATACTAACTTTGTAATCTTTAGTTAGTATATAAGCTGTTAGTAAATATACTATCTATAAAGAAAATGACTGGTAAATTAAAATACATTTGATTTCAGAACTTGCATTCATCAGAACATATCATCAGAAGAGTAAAATGGTTAGCCACAGAGACTTATATACAGAATACATAAAAAGCCCTACAAATCAATAAAAGAGACAAAACTAATTTTAAAAATGGACCAGAACATATGTCACATCATTATATTGTATACCAAAACTAATACAATGCCATATCAATTATATCTCAAAAAAAAAAAAAAAAGAAAGAAATAAAGAAAAAGAAAAAGAAAAAAAAAAGCCATCTGGGTAGTAGTGTTTGGCTGGGGAGAAGGAAGAAACTCTCAGATTCTTATCATGCCAGATTAGGTTGTTAAAAGGGATTCCAGCTAATGTAAATGATCTGGAGGCCTGGCTGGTAGTAGAATGCAAGAGGGGTAGGAATTAACGATTATGAACACAGCCCTTTTCCTGGCAGTGTCTCCAGCTGAGAGAGGTACCTACAAAGCTGCCCAAGAGTGCCCTTGGATTTGACAGACTTGCTCTGATTGAAGAAAAAAAAAAAAAAAGAGAGAGAGAGAGAGAAGAGATTTGAACAGATACTTCACAGAGGAGCATGTCTAAACAGCCCAAAACTTACAAAAATATATTAAAAGCCCCACTGTTGGAAGGGATGGGAATTTGTACAACCATTCTAGAAACTTGTTGCCAATAAAGCTGAATAGACGCATAGCCTATGACCCAGAAATTCACTCCTAATACTGCACTCAACAGAATCGTACACATTTGGACACCATGAAGATCAGTACAAGAATATTGATAGCACATTATTTAACAGAACAAAAAAAATAGAAGTAACCAACATTCCTTTCAACAGAAGACGATACAAATAAATTGTAGCCCAGTAATACAATGAAATGTTATACATATGTTAAAATAAACTAGTTAAATACAACATCATGCATGACTCTCAGAAATATAACGTTAAATGTCAGAGACGGAAACTGAAGAACAAATACCAGTTGATTTCATTTATGTGAAGTTTAAAAAAACAAAACAAAAAAAGCTTTAGAGAAAAACACTT